CTCTCTCTCTCTCTCTCTCTCTCTCTCTCTCTCTCTCTCTCTCTCTCACACACACACACGCGCGCACGCACGCGCGCGCGCACACACACACACACACACACACACACTCTCTCTCTCTCTCTTATCCCTTCCATTACTCTATGTAGTTTTAACGTTTAACTTCCGGTTCCTTATGGGAATATCGATAAATCGTCGCAGTTTTTTTTTGTCCATACGCATTTATTTCTTTTTTTTTCGTGATTTTCTGTATTTTCTTTATTTATCGGTGGTAATTTTTTTTTTTCATTTTTGTTTGTCGCTTTTTAGTAACTCGAACTCTAAAAGGTGTCTCGAGGAGAGAAAAAACTAAGTGGTGTGTCGTCGCCCCACGAGCGAGGGAAAAGTCTCGTTACGGGTGGACCGGACTCGGGGTCAACAAGATAAGTTGTTGTTGTTGATGATTTCTTATTCTTTTTTTTTTTTCGTTTTGGTTGTGTTTTTCTTTTTTTCATTAAAAGTATGTATGTATGTATGTATAGTTATGTATATTAGCATCCGCTTGATTTGACACATATGATTGAGGTCTCGAGCAAGTCTCTTCTGCTGCTTAGCTCGCATCTCACAGCCTAGAGGTGATTTAAACCAGACGCGAGGCCCGTTCTCAAACGGGACGCACCGCAAACGACGCACGATAAGTCCCCCGACAATCGCCAAGCTCGCAGGTGTATACATATTCCTTATACTTTTGTATATATATTTATATAATATATTCACTGTTTTTCTTTTCTTTTTTTTTTACACTTACGTGCCGCACGCGCGCGTGTGTGTATGTGTTTTTTTTTTTTTAAGTTTTATTTTATTAACGTGATTTTGTATGTGTGTCCATATGGTCAATTGTGCATTTTCAAGTAAATACGACATAGTAAAATATTAAAGCGGCAGCAGAACGCATTGCAATACTGTTTGATCTATGAAAAAGATGTTCCTTCTCTGATCCCCCCACCCCCACCCCCACCCCCTCGGAAACTTCATGCAATCGCCGCCATCTTGTGTGCTGATCTCTGTGTTTTTAAGTCCCTCAAGGGTCCACATCTACCCCACCCCCACCCCCCCTCCCCCCGTTTGTGATTTTAAAGTCTATCTATTTATGTACAACACGATTTTTAACGTATTTCTCTTCGTCTTGTCTCTTTGTTTGTTCTCATGACGCTTTCTTTTCCAAATATTTTCTCTTGCCCCTACATCGTCACCACCCCCCCCCCCTCCCCCTTACTCGCGAATAAACTCTTCTCATAGTCAACATGTCTCGTATAAACTATGCAGTGCCGATGCCTAAACGGATAGGCAACTACACATAAAATATATGGTAATCGACAAGTGAGTAACGTATTAAAATTAGAAAGTACATGTCGCAACATCGTGGACGATAGACAGAGACGTGACGAGCGTTCTCGTGAACCCGCGCGTTCAGCTCGTGCTGGCTTTTCCTCCTCCGTCGCTCTTTCTCATCCCTCGACCCAACGCTGAAGACAGTGACGGTGTTGTATTGCTTTTCTTTTTTTTTTTCTTTTTTGTCGAATTCTAACATCCTCTCGTCGCCACGAGGCCACTCTTACGATTCGACAGGGCCTGTACAAAGGTGTGACACCCTTCGCACGATCGAGTACTACCCTTCAGAGTAAGGTGACGGCGCTGAGGTAGATACAATGACGTTCGCGTGACAATTTTGAAGCAATCGCTCGAATTTCCTACGCGCGATAACGTCGGGAAATTTGATCCTTGGACGTTTGCTGGGAGCATCGCGGAGAATGGCAACGTTGCGCAATTTTGTTGCTCGACATCCTCAGCTTCAGACCTTCGTACAGTGGAACCTCTGTTATCTAGACACGTCCGGGGACTAGGCAGTTCTGATAACGGACTAGTTGAGGTAATGGAGGTGTACTAGCAATACTCTGCAAGAACCATCTACTATGGACTTTTATGCTTGGCCATGGTTGGGTAATAGAAGCTGGGGGTGCTGGAGGGTACTGAGTCCAGTCCCATCTAGCCCCTCCGTAGCTTCTATTACCTAAACTATGCTCTATTATCTGAACTACTCGGTTACCGGAACTGTCTTGTCCCCGAACTTGTTCGGATAAGCGAGGTTCTACTGTACTTTCATGCGAATAGACTTGGACCAACAGGACTATGTATCATACTCACGAAAATAAACGAAAAGTATTCGGGTAATATAGGTCTGCAAATCGAGTCTGTCGTTTCCACTAATTACTTTCCTTAATTTACTCGCCGTTAGAATATGTCATCGGTGTTTGATTGTATGACAACGAGAAAGTAGAAACGTGGGTACGAATGGGATAACAAGAGAGTATTACATGACTATAATGTTACTATAGCGACAGTCTCTGTTGCGTTAGAGTAATTTTAAACCTATCGCGCTTAAATCGAGACTGATTTCCTAACCTACGTTAGTCGGACATTTTCTGTTTATTTTTGTGCGTACTTCTAACATCCCCCGGAACCTCGTTCTCGGAATATCCTCGACACTGATCCGCGATTCCCAAATAGAAGAGTCCTACAATCGGTTGCGCTGTTCCCTAGCCAGGTGTCAAACGACCACGAAGGTTCCCCGAGTGCTCGACTCGTTTCCGCTCGGATAAACTCTCTTTCCGGAACTGTGATCCGTTCACGGGTATCGATTAAGTAGACACAGTGTATCGACGGGTACAATAGGTCACCCGCGGCTACGTGATTCCTCTTTTTAAAAAGATTCTTTGCTTTTTCTTCTGTTCGTCGATCCTCGACTTCACCTTTCCGTACAATAAACTATTCGTCATATATACTTACACATATGTGCTATACATGTACTATATACACACACATATATATACATATACATGACTCGTCTTCGGTTACTTATAAATATACGTTTATGTATATAAGTATTGGATAGTGCCTATCTAAATGAAGCACGACCGAATAGTTTCGGACCGTGCATGAAACGTGACATGCACACGACACTTAAACGCGACCGATCGCTGAGCTACGCTATCCTTCGATGAGAGTTAAGGGAAAATGGGCGCGCGTATCTCTTTATTCTCTTCTAAACTTCAATTTTTTTTTTTTTTTTTTTTTTTTTTTGGCATTCATTGTTCGTCTCTGTATGATCTACGCGAATCCGTGCTCGCAGAAGACTGTTTACTTATGTGTGTGTTCTGTGTGTACGCGGAGATGTGTTCCTTTCAGAGCGGTGAAACGGACCAGTAGGCCTTGGACAGTATATAGACGCGAATCTAGACAAAGACTTCGACGCGCGAGAAGGTCGAGAACGTACAATGGAAAAACGAACTTCAGTCCTGAAGGAGATGCCCGAATATACGCGTCGGGTTTACTTTATTTTAGGAGAACGCTGCTGCCTGAACCTTTATGGGAACGCAAGATTTACGTGCTTGAGATACGAGTATATATATCGAAGTATAAAACGGTGAAGAGAGTCTCAGGGTTGAGGGTCTGTGCGTACAGATGTTAGTACCGAATGTTGTTGCCGTTGATCATTGATGATGCGAATTGGTAATATCTAGGATACCGTAGCAATACGTTTATGCGATGCTTTGGAGAATTTCAATTGGTTTTTTCTCGGTGCTACTGTTGTCAGAGACAGTGGTATCGGTTGCATCGGCGTGTGTATCGATATACGTATCAGTAACTTCGAGAACTATTCACCAATTCCTTGGTTAACCTTTGATATATTAGTAATTTTTAAAAATTTCTTGGCAATATATTCTTTAGCATGTTAAGAGCTTGAGCTAGTACGATAACCCTATCGCTGTAAGTCTTTCTCGTCGTAGCATCGCAGCAAGGCAGATTAGTATGAAGAATTTTACTTTTAGTTTATACTTCGGCCAGTACAGTTCGATTAGTTTGTACGGTAGTCCTATTGCTGTTAGTCTCCGATATTTTCAAGTAATTCTTGGGTACTGTATCCTTTGTAACGCACCGAGAGTTCGAACTCCCTTTTACATTAGACCTACTACGGTCGGTGTCCGAGTAATCCTAGTAAACGATTTCAAGACTTTGGCAGTAATATACTTTTCTTAATAGATAGACAATTTCAACTATCTCTATAGTCGTAGCAGCGCGGTGTCGCGCATTGTAACTTTCAGAATTTTCTAGTAAGTTTGGTTTCCACCTCGTCATTACGTCTTAGTCCGCGCGTAAAATTTCTATGAATTAGAGGGACGCGTTCTCGCGACTTCTGCGAGCACAGGTGCATTCGTGCAGGAGTCGTACGTCCACGTAAAGCTGTTCACGCTGCAGCGTTCGTCCGAACTTCCGCCGCGCGTGCGCGTTCGTCGGCGTACTTCAACGCGCTATCCTATGCTACCCTAAGTTCACCTATAAGCAGTAGAATTATACATACCTATTATACTCTCTATAACGACAATGCGTGTAGAAAAATGAGCCTCTCGCGTCTTTGGTTAAACGCGAAGCATTTAGAAAGTATTCTGGCAGTGGTTTCGTAGATGCTTCGATCTTAGCCTCGGACCAAAAAATTTTGATTTCAGTTTCAATGGGAGTTAATTAGAATCGGAGTGAGTTTACTCGGGACGTGTCGGTTCTTCCTCGTCGATTCTCTCTCATCGTCATCAAAACTCTTCCACTCGACGAGCAACAACATCTGCTCGCGCGGTTCGTCGGAGTCAACCTGATTACAATATTTAAGATCGAGATACGCTCTGTGTACTACCTGTCTGGTTTTTTCTTTTTTTTCTCTCTTGTATTGCCGCGCAGAGTTTTCGCGATACGGATAAAACCACATTGTCTATCTCATCGAAAGGGACGAGTGTAAATAAGATAGATCCTACGTATCCTAGTTTACATTGTGAAATTCAGTTAAAGGAAACTTATATCCTTTGGCATGTCACTTTTGGCCTTCTCGAGGATTAGCTTATAACGAGCCTACGAGCTCCCCTCGATCCAGTCGATCCGGAGTCCGCCAATACGGCATCGTCAATCGGGATTCGTACGTACTCTTCTTCGGTAACCGTATGTTCACAACGCGAAACGCAAGTGACTGCTCAGACAATGGCACAAGAGCAACGTGTTCCTTAGGGTGAAGTCGTTTAGGTCTTTAAGAAGTAAACTAGATTTCTGCTTTTGCGAGGCGGTTACTTCCATTCCTCCCGGTCTAGTTCACGAGTAGATGGTGATCACCTCCCGTCCGCCGCCACGCACCATCAGCACCCTGTCCAGACCCTCGGTGAGAACCTCTAGGAATTCCATATCTGTCGCGCGGTGGTCAAGAAAAATACAAATACAACAGCGCCTTCTCGACTTTGTTCTAACATTGTACCGTGTTTCGGGGTCTCCTTGAAATTTCACAAGGAATGCAACGAGGGATAAAATGCTATCTATCTGTTAGATATTATAATCAAGAAAGGTCTTAAGCGTCGAAAGGATACAGTTTGATTCACGTTCCATTTTAGTGTCCCGTGGTGGTCCAGGAAGATTGAGAATGACTAACTGAGCGTCATGGCTCTTTTCGACGATCACTTCGTTTAGCTTCACGGAAGTGTGCATACGCCTCACGTCACCCTCGTCGCTGAAAACAGTATAACGTCAGACAAGTGATCTGATCAACCTTTACATCGAAAGGATCGTTGAAATTATCGCTTACGGTGTAATCGTGATTTGCTTCGTCTCAGGGCTCTCAGTTTTCTTCTCTTCGCTCTCCTTCGCCTCCTTCTCGGTGTTCTCCTTGTTGTCCTGCTTGGGCGAGCCGGCGATCAACTTGGTTTCCTCGTCGCCGTCCTTCGTCTCCTCCACGCCCTCGTTGTTGTCGCCTCCGTCCGAATCCTTGCCCGACTCTGTATCCTGCACGAGCTTCTCCTGCGCCTCGTCCACGTTCGCGTTCTGGCTTCCCGGCTCCTGGAATCTCACCTTGGTGGCGATCTTCACGTCCACGTTGTGGTGATGGTCCACGATCGTCTGCACCTGTGTTCACGATAAGAACGACGATCAGCGAATTCGGGCTCGGACCGCCGTGTCCCGAACAGCAGGAGACAGTCAAGTGTGTCGAAAGACGACTAACACTAGCGTCAAAGCACTCTATGATCTGGCTAAATAAATGACCACTAATGTAAGCATTCGGAATGAACGTGCCAATCAAGCTGAAACTGGGGCCGTTTTCGGGCGTACCAGAGATAATCATGAACAAGAAAGCAAACTGGTGGAGGCTTTTGTACAAAACGATGCAGCGACCATTAGAGGGGGCGGTTGGAGCCATTGGGTACATTCCATCAGAGACAACTGATACCGATCCATGATTCACAACGTGTTCCGGGCAGAAAATCTCTAATGATCGGTGATCAGTTGTGTCCACCGAATGCACCCATTGTTACCGACAGGGAATCGCGAGTCTTCCGGAGTGACGATTCTCGCGTCACCTCCATGAGTTTAGTTTCTCTGAATGGGTTATTCGAGGTGACAGGTGTGAGTTTGTCAGATGGTCGACAAACGAAAATGCGTTGTTATGAAACATCGGAGACTGGGGGGCTCGGGGGGGGGGGGGGGTTCAAGGGGGTGGGGGGTGACAGGATCATGGACGTGGCGTGTCTACGACACCGACAGGGAAGAAGAGAGACGGAGGAACTCCGGGAGTTGTCTGACAAACCAGAGGTAAATTTTCTTCGGCGGGTACCTCGTTGAAGTCCACCAATGTCGGCACCTTATCCGTGACGAGCACGCAACAAACAGACACATACTCATCAGTATCGCTGTAGCAGTTCTTATTATATATATATATATTATATATCGTATACGCGTGTATTCGCACAGTCGTATCGAAGTTAGTCGTCTTCGCGGTTTCGTCACTTACCACTCCAAGGGACTCCTTCTTGTTCAGCCGCATCTCCCTCAGCATCTGGTTCCTCTGTTCCATCACCAGGGTTCGCTCGTACGTGTAGGCAGATATATCGGAATCCATCTACAAAGATCAAACGTTGAAATTAGATTCTAGGCACGTCCTTCTACTTCCAAACCGAAGCTTATGGTCGGAACGATGGGCCACGAGATCGTTTATCCATCGATCCTGACCAGATGTAGCTGTAACAGCCAACACTATTCGATGCTGTAGAAATTTAACCCTTTGCACTCGAGAGGTGACTGTCAGTCACCGTTAGGTTTCACGCAGCAAATCTACAGTACTTAATGTTTCTTTAGGTTTCATTTCTTTGGAGGTTTTTTTCAATGGTGTGACCTTATTCTCAAATCTAGATAGCTTAGAATTCATGGCGATAGAATGCTAAGAAACATCTCGAGTTGCTGGTAGATACCAGACAAAAAAGGCCTCGAGTGCAAAGGGTTAAGATACTTGGTCTTCTTACCATTTCTACGATTTCCACCTCAGCTTCGATCCTAAGGTCGTACAGGAACTTCTTCAAATCCTTCTTCATTTGGATGGAGTTGTCCTCCATCTGAGCCACGGTGAAGATCCTCATCTTGCAGTTCTTCCACGTGCGATGTTGCTTCAGCAGGAACGGCAACAGCATCAGAAGACCACCGTCGTGCACGATCCACCAGACGTCGATATAACCGACCACCTTCTCCGTCGAGTCTGGGAAGAAGTTGATTCCTTTGGGCACCAGCAAAGCCATTCTAGCCGCTGCGACGGCTCTGACCGTCTGCAAGAAGACTCTCCAGGTCCTCTCATCCTGCGATTGTTTCCAGCCGTAAGGCCAGCCAAGGATCACGGTGTTAGGTTTCATTCCACCGAGTCCAGTGGTCTGGACCAAAGAGCTCAAACCATCGACGATGTTTCTCGCCACCAGAACGTCGACGAATCCCTTGACCTTTTCCTCGGTTATCGTCTTGCGCAGACTCTGCTTGGCGGCCAGAGCTTCCCCAGAGTTCTGGATGTAGTCACCACCGATGCAACTGACGGAGACGGTGAGACCCTTGCCCGCCTTCAGCTGGCTGGCGAACGCGAAGAGCTTGCGGTACTTGGGCACCAGGTCGTCCGTCAATTTGGCCAGAATGAGAATTTGAGGCCTCCAGTTCTTCGTGTGAGGTGGCCCCTCTTCCAGTCGCAGCAGGGAGTAACGAGCGGCCGACAGAGCCAAACCACGGATACCGTCGCCCCATTCCTTCTCAGCGCCACGGTACTCGATGTACTTGTAGATGCAGCCAGCCATACCCATGGCCAACAGCGCGTAGTACCAGCTGGTCATGAACATAATGGCGATGCAAAGGGACAGACCGAGGAAAGACAGACTCCAGTGGTAGTACTTGAATCTAGGTCGCCAGTTGGGCGTTCGCAGGAGAGTCTGCAAGGCGCAGGCCAGGTTGACGAATCCGTAGCACATCAGGAAAAACATGGAGAGCAAGGGAGCCAGGTAGTCGACGTTGCCGAGGAGGATGCCGCATTGGCAGATGATGATTGTTAGCACGAGGGCTCTCGTCGGTTCGCCGCGTTTGGAGCTGGTGGCAAACGGCGTCAAGAACGGAATGATGCCGTCCTTGGCGATGGCTTGGAGCAGTCGAGGGGCACCCGTCAGCGATTGGAGACCAGCGCCAAGAGTGGAGAGGAACGAACCGATCAGGATCACCCATTGGTTCGGCCAGGCCATGTTGGCCACTACCAGCTTGCCACCGATGCTCTGACCGAACTTATCTCGCAGCAACAGATTGTCTACCGTGCCAGCGAACAGCAACACGCAGGAGAGGTACACCGTTGACGTAGTGAGGATCGCGCAAATGGTACCGATTGGGATCGACTTCTGGGCGTCTGCCAGGTCACCTGATCTGTTTGAGCCCGCCATGATACCTGTGCGAGAGAATTTATCAAGATTCGGTTACTAGATCGATCGGTGACGGTGATTAATGCGAGTTAGGCCAATCGCACACGGTGCAACCGATCTGTTTCAAATCACTCTGAAACTAGTTGCATGCGACCGTGGATCTAGGTAAAACAAAGATAGTGGAATAGGTAAAACAAAGAGCGCAAACGGTTTGCAACACTAATTTCAAATCGGAGCGCCGTGTGCGATCTAAGTGCGAGGCCTTAGAAGTGCAAGTGTGTACTTTAGATGGGGCCAAGTGAAATGATTCAACTAGCTTCATTCAGAAACCTCTAGGATATCAAATGTATTGTTTTAGGATGGCGAGAGAAGTGTTTCGTTAGCTTACCCGTGACAGAAGGGAAGAATATGCCGATGAGGATGGTGAAGGTGGTGGTGAGATCGACCTGAATCTGATTGAAGGAGGATGCCGCCATCATATCGATGTCCTTCGGATCGCTTCCGTAAGCAATTAGCTGACCTTCCTCTTGGAAGCTGTCCCATATGTTTTCTAAACGCAATGTGTCAGTTATTTTCACAACAATCGAGCATTAACTACAGGGTGATCCGCTCGTTAGGAGACGCAATGGACAACCGCAACAATAGCTGACCGTCATTCTAGACTTTATGACGGCGACCACCGCAGCGAAAGTGGCTGTATGGGTCATCGTCATAAAGTCTACAATGACGGTCGGTTATTGTTGTGGTTGTCCATTATGTCTACTAGCGAGCGGATCACCCTGTATAACTACGGATACTTCATTACCTAAGAATACACCACTGGCCAGGCCACGAATTCCATTGATGATGGTCAAGTTGTTCTGCATGTAGTACGGATCGCAATTGTTTGGGAGCAGGCTGTTGTTGCTCTTGCAGTAGATTTGATGGAGGACTCCACTGGTGTTTTTATTGCAGTCCGCCATCACGTCAATGTCCTTCAGCAACCTCCTACCCAGGACGCACATTCTGAAACAAGCAAACGTTCGTGTCAGTTCTTGTTAACCCTTTGCACTCGAGGCCCTTTTTTTTCGTATCTACCAGCAACTCGAGATGCTAAGCTATCGAGATTTGAGAATCAGATCACCTTTACTTCACCGGCAATCATTTTATTGACATTTCGAGTTCCAAAGAAATGAAACTTAAAGAAACATTATTGCTGATAGATTTTCTGCGTGAAACCTAATGATGATTGAGAGTCACCTCTCGAGTGCAAAGGATTAATTCCACCGGGATAAGAGTGCACAGAGCGTAGTTACGTACTTGAGGGACTCGTTGCCGTAGAAGTTGTAGAAGAGTCCCACGTAAACAGCCACGATGGAGAGAATAACGCAGGCAAGTGCAACCGTGGCAAACTTGTTGACGAACTTGACGCCAATGAAGACGATGGTGCCCATCACCACCAGTAGACCCGTACCGTACACTCGAAAGTTGTTGTACATGATACTTGGATCCTTGGTGAAGTCCCCAAATATGCTCAGCGACGGCGCCATGTAAGTCTGAAACAGAGGTTGATGTTCTCCACCTGGCAACGATCCAAACGACCCTGTTCTATATTGCATCGGATTTGGAGGAGACTTGCAGGAGACTTGGAGGAGACTCCAAGGGTACCAGAGAGACTCTACGGTAACCTTAGGTGTCAGGGATTATGAGAATAGATTGTCAGGATTTAACTAGCAATTAGAAGGGGATTAATAGGTAAGTTAATACCGAGTATCGGGCATTAACGATGGAACTGTTCCAAGCGGAGACTCACCAGGACGATCTCAACTGCACCGATGATGTACATGGCAGCGGCCAAAGTGGTGCCTGTGTAGAAGAGCATCCCTACGGCCCCACCGAACTCTGGACCCAAGCTTCTGGATATCATGAAGTAGGACCCACCGGCGGGTACCACGCCGTTGGTTGCGATGGCGCTCATACTGATAGCGGTCAGCATTGTCTGCAGGCAAACAGAAATTCTTTAGTACCGTACAGTTTCAAGATGTCTCCAATATTCATCAAAATTTCTTATTATTTCTTATTATTTCTTAGTATTAACGACACTGGATCATCCTCTCTGATGTTACCAGTCCTACTAATTTTTAATTGATTCAGAGATGGGGGTATTCATATTCATAAATACAAATATCAATAAATTTATGAATAAAAATGTGAATAACGCATTTTTATTTAGAATTAACTCTTCATTAAATAACGTTAATCACTTACTTACACACTCCAACCAAATGGATAATTACAAAAATTATGTAATTTATGGAAATAAAACAATCGTTGTTGTTTCTATTATAAAAAGCATTGTAGTTGTGTTAATAAACACGTATACGAAACTCTGGAATACGTATAAGCACCTTGGAACCTTGGCGCCTTAATAAATTAATGACACACTTTCATTACCACCTTTTGGTTGTAACAATACCGAATAAAAAATAATGATACAGGGAGAAAAAAAGCTTGATCCTGGCAGCTTAAGAGAGGTTTACAATTCGTTTAATGAAAGCGTGTTTCATCAAATTCATTATCCCCAGAGTTTCGTATACGTGTTTACTAACGCAACTATAATGTGTTTTATAATAGTAACAACAATGTTTCTTTTATTTGCATAAATTACATAATTTTTGTAATTACCCATTTGGGTGGAGTGAAACCATTCTGTGCGGGATAGCAAACAATGTAAATAAGTGATTGACGTTATTTAATGAAGAGTTAATTATAAATAAAAATGTGAACAACACGTTATTTATGAATAAAAATGTGAATAACATGTTTAAATTTAATCATATTTAAATAAATTAATTCATATTCATCAAATAAATAAATGTACACATAATATTAATTAATAATAACAATAAATTTATTCATATCACAAATCCGCGTGATGTTAATTTATTCATATTCATATTTATGAACTGATCATAGTCAAAGGTTGTTCCCAAAGGACAAAAGGACCTATAACCTTCCTGAATCGCCACGATGCTCGCCGATACTCACCACGCAACAGCAACAGAGCACGATGAAGAAGCCCTGTATGGCGCCAGCCGTGCCCACGACCCACGTGAGACGGATGAAGAGGATCACGCCGAAGATATTCTGGATGCAAGGTAGAAAGACACCAATCAGCGTTCCCATTCGTGCGCCGCCTTGCACCGGAGGTGCCCTGCTGTCCGGATCGGTCGCAGCCGGGATCGTGTTGCTATAATTCGACAGACTGTTGAGCAGCGTCGAGATCCGAGGTCGGTCCTCCATCTCTTCCTGAAAGTAAGAAAGATCAACTTACGACGTCACGTTGCCGAACTTCTAGGTTATCAAAGGCCTACATGGAAGTTTTCTGTTGCGATAAGTATCAAGGAGTTCGAAGTATGGATCTGAGAATGCTCTAGACACTCTGACTAGTTTTGTATATGCATCGCAGCGTCGACAGTCTTTAGCGACGATTAAACGACGCGTGGAATCAAATGAGATTCCTCAACGAGTGAATATAACTGGACTGTAACTTGATCGAATGCGAACTTGCGCGAACTTGTACTTTGAACTAATAAGCTTCATTTTCTATCCGAATGCGAAACTGAACTATACACGCGACAACCATCTGCAGGGACCTCTATGGATCCTCACAAGGAGCTACAACACACAAATCCTGTGAGATTTCTCCACCCAATCTCATGGAATGTGTTTCACCGCACCCTTTGCTAGTGTCGGCCATTTTTTACTCGGCAGCTCACGCTCCCGCAAACTTTTCGCGGAAGAAATTTTAATAACCGCTTAATTCGCCGGTTGTAATCAACGCTTTAACGACATAGTGCGCCGGAGAGAGTTGAATTTAAACACAGGAATTAATATAAGGGAGAAGACCGAACATACCCGGAAGAAATTGCAATTTAACAGGGAACTGTTTGACCCCAACAGCTACGGTGCACCTGAAAGCTGTTTACTCGTCGAGTTCTTGGGAAGGGGTAGTTTCCAGTCGACAGGAAACTCGCCATGGACCCGGATTGAACGCGCCAAAAGGCTCGCCAGCAAGGTTACCGTGAAACTTCTTGTTAATTGGATCGCTTTGAGGCTGTTTCCGTCCATGGTGCAACGAACCTAAATTTTCTTGACGTCTTTCTCTCGCGAGTCATTGACTTTCAGATGAAACGAGAAGGACCAGCGCTTGATTCCAGGCTTTCTCGTACGTGTTCCGTCGAATTAAGCGCGTGCGAGCTTGGTTTCGAAGGCTGGGCTAGCAGGTTGCTCGGGAGTGCCACATTTGCGTCGAGTTACGCGCGCCATATACCTCCCCAGGGTATCGGAGCAAAGTGGACATAACTCGAGCCCACCCTGGAGAGCACTTACAGCTCGTTTGGTTACTTTCAAAGGTTGCATTACCTCGCGACCGCCTCGAGGAGGAACGGAGGTTGGGTGACTGGCAATAAACCGGCGAGGATTCCTCGTCGTAACGTTTTAACGTAAATACGGGGCGTTCGGTAACTGGTGGTACAAGCGAAAAGAAGGTGATTCTACATGCAAAACAAGTCGAAGGTATATTAGGAGGTTGCATTGAAAGCCGCTGTTTTTCATGTTTTTTGAGCATTTCATTCAATGGCGAAGTATATAAAATTATCAATCGAAATATTTGCCCTCGAAAGCTATTACTTTTTCCCATTTTTCCGGCAAAAGTTGAATTCCGCGACGATAGAACGCTTTCTTTCGAGCTTATCCCATGTTGCATCGATCTTAACAAATGTGTTTCGTGTGGCTTTAACAACTTGTAATATGCGACGGCTCTCACTGTCTACGGTATTCGCAGTAAAATCCACAGGTTTTCGCAGTAAAATTCGCAGGTTTGCATTCAATGCAAACCTCCTAATAAAATCAAAATTTTTCATGTAAGGCGTTGCTTTAGAGAAAATCGACTTTGAATTACCGGCGAGTACGGGTGCACTCGATCGTCTTCGCGTGGGTAAATTACGTTGTCTATGTTACTTGTATATATTAGGTTGTCCTAAAAGTTTCTTTCGTGAGTTGCCTTCAATTATTTTCTGTGGCAGTGTTTATATAAATAGACAATCTAATTCTTAGACATTGATGCTGTAACAGTAACGGAGCGAAATGAATCGTACACAATTTTGTAATGTAACATGAAACGTAAAATATTGTGTATGCATTAATTATTTCTAAAAGGAAAGAAACATTTGGGACAACCTAATATTTGTAAAATCTTTCCTGTCTTCTGAAAAACTTCAACCGTATTATACACACGGTTTTCTGATACGTTCAACGCGAGCTATGTTTATATCGTACTCAGAGGCCTCTAGAAAGGGATACTATTTTAGTCTGAGCAACAAAATAATCGATAGCTCGAAACACCAACGTGTTTGCACCGAAATAGTTTGTATACGAATTAGTCTGACCACCTACGTATTTTTCTACTTAGCGCCTCGACCGAGACGTCCTATACTCGAAGTAGAAAATTCCCTGCGTTGTCAGACACGCTGTGTTCTACTCTCGACACTAGTTGATTCTTTTAGATCCCAAGTCATTTGTTTATCTATTAAATTAAGAATGAATCACATTTCTAACAGTAAATAAACGACGCAAGACAACGGCCGGTCCTCGACGAAGAAACTGAACTTTAATCTGACGACGGGCGGTGCAATTAAACGCACTTATTTAATTAATTAACGAGTTACTCTCTCGTTTCACCTGCAATCCTCTTACGCCGAGGGGTAAAGAAAGTAGAAATCCTAGCGCGCCATTAGTGAGATAATTAAACGAAACGCGATCCTGACAACTATGCCTCGCAGAGAGTTGTTTGCGCGGAATAATCGCTACGTAATTCGGTCGATAATTGCACGTGGACGTGGATGAAAAATGAGGATCGCGACAGTGAAACACGACCCCGAGCAAGAATTTCCCCGACGGAACTGCATCGCCCCGGGGATCTTTTCATTAAAAACTAGAGGCGGACGCTATTTAGAAAGAACTTTCATCGAAATTCTTCTGGAATTTTAGCTGGATCACCAGAGGTACTCGCAATCAAGGGTCGGGGATAAAAATGGCCACGAAATGGGGTACCTCTTATTCTCTCGTTGCAGTGACGAAACGATACAATTTCGAGCATTGTTCGTTAGCGGAAATTTCCCTTTTGAGGATCGAATGTATTATCAATCCTGGGCGAAATAGTATTCAGTCAAAAGAATCGACGCGAGTGCAACGAGATTTGCATATGTATCAGTGGGTGGAAAAGTTCGGTACATGTTGGAAATAGAATGCGAGAGTTGACTTTAGTAGTTTTCCTTTTTTTTTTTTCATGAAGAGAAGAATGAATCAATGAAATCGATTGGGAACAATTTCAGTATAAAATTCAGCGTTAAAATTTCTTCTTACTAGAACTGTTCTCAATAAAATGTGACGGAATTTTATTATAACATTTCGTCATAGTGAAACGTAACTAAATTTTACAAAGTATTTCGTTCTCTTCTAACAAGGAAAGCTTTTTAGGTGTCCGTCTCCAATTGTTCCGATTTTTGGATACGTTTTAAAGGGCCAAAAAATAAGATACACGTATCTTTTTTATATTGCCCCGTTTTCATATTTAGGGGTTGAAACGATCACCTAAAGTATCGGCTGCAATAGGATCTCCGAAACTTCGAAGATCTTTTATCATAGATGGAAGAAAACTTTAAAAAAAATAATTTGTTTATAATAACAGCCTATTGCTGAGACTTGAGGGGGTCGTTTCACCCTGTAAATATAAAAACGGGCCAATATAAAGAAATACATATATATCTTATTTCTCGGTCCTTTACAACACATCCAAAAATCAAAACATTCGAAGGCGGACACCTAAAAAGCTTTCCTTGTAAGTGATTACTAACCGAACCTTACCACACCCAAAAAATAAATGTTCTCTTTCTTAGATCCCGTTCCTCTACTTTTCCACTTTCATATACAGTCGCACCAATTAATTTCGACCGAATACTATCCGCCAGGGGCGATATTAGACACATAGCTAACCACGGGTCCATAGCGAACCTGTTCGCCGCCATTTCGCCCGGTTTCCCCGGACAAAGCGGCCAAGAGACAGAGGCAGACGTACAAGCGAGAAATCAGCGCCGATAAGGCTGTCTTGCTCGGAGATAATTTCGACAGAGCGAGCCACGGCAAGAAGAGAAACGGATAATTGGATATCCAGGAATCGAGGTCGATGCCGAACCGCGCGTTCCAGCTATGAGGCCCCCGGACTGAAAGAGCACGTTAATTAACCGGCTATAAGGGCACGTTCGAACCATGGCTCCGCTTGCGTCACTCTAGGCCACCCTTTTTCTTTCATTTTCATGCGGCCTCTATGCAGAGGCCAGTGTGCAATCGTTACGTAAAACCACGTTCCTACACACGCGCGCGAAATCAGGCCTGAACAGGATTAAAGGATCGACGGAGCAACGTTTTATCCCAGTGCTCCTTAATTTTGAGCATCCTGCGTCAAGGAACCCTTACTCGTTGGTTGGATAATTGGATAAATTCATCTTGCTACGAAACTTTAATTTTCCAATAATAAGAACAAGTGCGGAATGAAAGAAACGAAACATTGGTCATCTAAGGTGATCGAAAAACCAGCGGAAGACGTTCAAACGACCCTGTTCCGACGCGTCGCCAATCAACGAATCGCGGCAGTTAACTCTGCGATTAATTCAGCTGGAGGCGGAGGTGAAACTTTCGTTCAAAGGTACTTCGACGCAAACTCGAATCGAATTCTACGGTTTCTTATCGACCGGTCCGTCGACAAACTTCCCTGCTCGAGTTGATAAACGTGTCGAAGCTGAAAGCGAAACTATTTTCCCTAGCGAGCTGTTCCGGTTGAAATACGCCGGAGGATTAGGCTCGTTCTCTTTATCTCGAGATAAACTTGCTACCAAAGACGTCGTTCCTTTTAGGATCTCGTTTATGAAAACTCCTTTTTCGGTAGCTGGAGTACTTCGTCTCATCTTTGCAACGAGTTACTTTTGTTTAAAAGCAAGCAAAAGAGAAAATAATCTACGGGATGGAACGTGGATCGAGAGAATTGAAATCTAATTTAATTTGTCACTTTTTATATACCGGCGATGATAATGATAACATTTTTAATCCTTTGCACTCGAGGCCTTTTTTTCTGGTATCTGTCAGCAACTCGAGATGCTTTGATTGACTTCGAAAATGAGATCTCTAATTTGAGATTCGAAAATCAGGTCACCTTTGCCTCAATGACAATTTATTGACACTTCGAGTTCCAAAGAAATAAAACCTAAAGGAAATCTAGTGGTGACTTGGAGTCACCCTTAAGGGTTAATTGGTATAGGACGAATTTGGCCAAAAAAAAAAAAAAAAAAAAAAAAAATGAAAATAGAAATTATTTAACAGAAGCGTTAGGAAAACAAGCGATTTAATAAGAAGAGCTGGGAGACACTCTGGGGAAACTGTCCCCGTCGGCCGATGAACAAAAGAAAAACTGCCGACGAAGGACGACGCCGGTCCCGAACAATAAAAGAGACGCACAACCGCAGAAGAATCCGTTCGTGGCTCGCTTGTTCGTTGAACGACAATTAAGCGAATTGCACACTCGAGAATATTCAACCCTGTCTCTCCCCCTCCCCTCTCTCTCTCTCTCTCTATTCCTCTCACTTTCGTGTTTTAATGAAGGACCCTTCGTCCGAGAAAGGGAGCCTGAGCCTACGTCGTCCCAGTTTTCTTATCCGTTGAACTTTTGCCGTGAAACGTCTGTTATCCATTCGCGATACAGGCTGCTTCAAGATATGAGATATAGACGGGAGGCGGAAGGATCATTTACGCCAGGAGCAGCGAGTAAGGTTAAACGTTTCCGCGTGACCAAAAATTAGCAGACATCGTCATACAGTCAGTCCCGTAAGTATTCGTACTCTCTATATCTGTTCAAGAAATTTATTCAAATTGAACGTCAAGTTTGATGTTTTCAAATAAATTTCTATTCTAAATATGTACATGTATAAAGCCTGTTTGTGTACATATCCATGATGGAACGTTTATTTGAAAACGTCGAATCTATCATTTAATTTAGGCAAACTACTTGAATAGAGTGTACGAATACTTATGGGAATGTGGAATTCTATTCTTAAAATGACCCCAAACATTTGAATTTCTAGTCTATTTTGTCCCCGATGAAACTCTCGATGTTATTTTTAATGTAAATGTATTCACGGAAGAAGAAAAAATCAGACGTGGAAGTGATTATGCTCCGTATTGGGTCAGACATATTCTACCCTAAAATAAATATTTGTTCTGACAACGAGAGAGTGGCGAACAAAAATTCTTTCAAACAAACACATGATTATCCAAATTTCGCCTCCTATTTACCATCGCCATTTGCTCCATATCTACTCGCAATAATTTCAGAGTATCTCAATTTCCCTGAAGCGAACGAACCTCCAGCGTAAACACGCGATATAGTCCGCGCTATTATTATCGTTATTGTTACTTACGTTGTAAAGGAAGAGATTAGTCTCGTATCCCGTCTTCTTCTCGGAATTGCCTCCCCCCATCTCGCCGTCTCCGCCGGCGCCGCCGCCATCGCCTGGAAAACGAGAACAAAAAGATGAATGGTTTTTCATTCATGAAATTTTCATAGGGAATTCTCGGTCGCGATGTTTATTCAACGACGGTTCGACGACGTCCGACTGTTCGAGCAGCGAACGCGGTACCGCGCCGGATTACCATTGGCGAGACCGTCGAGTGCTTTCAAGTTTGTTTCTATTGATTTTAATATCTCCCTAATAGAGCGGCGAAGTTTTAATAGAAACACGGTGACGGAAATGGGAACGCTTTAGTCGGAAAGTTTTAATAAGCGTCGAGAGAAGGAGAAGCGCGTTGATAGATTTCAATTTGTTCGTAAATCGAGAATAGGGTCCTCTATTCCCTACCCCTTTTTTGTTCGAACTGAACTCGAATCTCATTCGGGTTCGAATTCGTTCGATTCGTCTCGGTCTTTCGTTAGCCTCGACAGTATGGTTGTTGAAGAAATAGTTCCAAATTTTAATTAAATTATATTTAATACACTGTGCTCGTGTAAAATTACGTAATTAATGAAATTATTCGAGTCAAATCTGGAATATAAAATACTTTTCTTTTGACTCGAATGATTATCGAAAGCAGCCAAGAAAGATACCCTTCCGACGGAAAATTCATCGGCATCTTATTAAGTTGCTAGTAGTTCGAGTCAATATTTGAGCCAACCTTCCAACGAAATTCTAACGTTACCGAGGAAAGAACCTTCGACTCCGCTTAAAAAGTGGAGCTACGAAAACATCTCCCAAGCCGGCTCCGAATCGGCAACTTTCAGTTAATTACTTTACTACTTTTAAGATTCGCTAGCTAGTAGTACGAGTCGATCTTTCAGCCGGCGCTTTACGGGTACCACGCTATTGTCGGCTTAAAAGGTTTATCGATATCGAGAAAGCACTCTACCGTCGCAGAAGGTACGTCTAGACCTACGATTGTCAATCGATTAATCTCGTATCGGTTACTTCAAATTGCCAGTAGACGGAGTCGATTTATCAGCCGTCAATCGTGCCGTTCACTCACGGCCGATGCGAAAAAGAAGTATTTCTTTCCGGAACGACGCGACACGTGCCAATGAAAGCTCAGCCACGGTACTATCTAATTATTTATCACACTAAATTACTATAATTCTTGTTCTACTACAACGCTCATCATAAAAAGTTCAATGGCACTTCCTACAATTTAATTCTTCACTTCAACACAACGTTTATCCTCGTTTTATTTCATACACCCTCGCTCATAAATACGTGGACGTTTACTACTTTCAATGAATAATTACTATGCAACTTTTATTGCTAAATTCTATATTGGATTTGTATTTAACAACATTTAATAATATTAAATGTTTTGACTGCCATATTTAATTTTATAGTGGAACTATGGGATCGTTTAGATAGAAAAGTTCAGAAAGAATATTCAATATATCAAACACATTTATGACGAAATATTACAAAATAAGTGAGATAATATTACTTCGGATCTAACGAAGAAATTAATAGTATCCAAGTTTGGTAAAAGAAATTTTTACGTTATCGAGTTGTCTCTATAGTTTCATCATTGTTAATGTGATGTTAGGAGAAACTATTAATAAAACATATTCGCTAATGCAACATAAACATATCGAAAGATAAATGATATAATTTATATTAATAGATTCGCAACTTTTGTTAGATATTTATTTCTATCGAGCAAGTGTCCACATACTTCTGAGCGGGGGGTGTATACGCGTCTTTCTTCCCTCTATAGACAGAAAAAATGATTCTTTTTTATACTCTAAATATAATTTCGAGTACGAAATGAATTCCATTTAACAGTTACACGTCGAGTCGACGCGAAATCATGAATTAAAACGAAACTCGATTGTCCGTGCGGTGAATTGATACATTGATCGATGGACGGGAAAACGCTGCAGAGCCGAAGGTAGTCTGCAGAGGCGTCCCGACGTGCCTCGACGTCGAATCGACGCCTGCCACTTCCGCGGCCACGTATTTCTGCCCGCAATAACGAGCTACGTGTAAGCACGTTTCAATCCGCCCCGCTCGTCGTGAATTCCGCGAGCGTTCCCCGTCCGACATTTCGGTGGACGTCTTCTTTCGCGACCTCGTTGGCGCCGCGACGCTTCGCGAGACTTGGCAGAAGAGACCCGCTGAACCGTGGCGAAATAAGAACGAATCCTGCGTCTTCCACGCTCGACTTCCCACGCGAACCGAGGCTATTTAACCTAATTGTTTTCGGGTGCAACGAATTCGAGATTTATAATCGAAGATCTTACTCAAATTTTCTTATCGACTTATGTGGTTATTGCCACATATTGCGAGATTCCAGTGCCAAGGTTAGGTGCAATTTGTAGTACCTAATTTCAAGATAATTGTATAGTTGTAGGAGTTAATTTATTAATGTTTCCATCGTCGTACTTTTAGAACATTGTAGACGCTTGTAACGCGTGTAATATTCGTTTATGAATTCCGTTGCTTATATACAATTATAAATTAGAGCATTTCCAGTAAAAGCTATCGTCTTCGATAGATACCGTAACGAACGACGATCGCGTCTCGCAAAGGGACAAAGAAACAAATCAGAGAAGTTAATATTGACTGGCCTACTTTTTTAAATTGCTCGACTCAACCCGATTTGTTGCTTCGGGGACACTTGTTTCGAATATCGAACTTCTCCTAATTGCTGTACGCTTTTCCATCTCGAGATCCCCTTAAGAATCTCATTATCATAGCGACGAGAAAAACGCCGAGAAGCCTTCCCTCCGATCCAACCAGAGAAACGTTAATGTAAATAACGGACAAGGTCGGTCCAAGACAAAAGCACATCTTCGAACGATCTATTTTTAAATAATAAATTTCCTAACGCGATCGCGTTAATTTTATTTCGAGTTCCTACGTACCTAATCCACCACCAAGAAACCCCAAGCGTTTGCTTTAGCAGCGATAATTCAAGACTGTTACGTCCGATTATAATAATTATCGACGTATTCGACCACAAATTCACCGAACGGTCCGGTCTAACGAGCCTGCTCGGAATTTATGCGAGGGTGGGTCGCCTCGAGTCGAGCGTTACCTGGATACGTCCAACGGTTGTAAAATTATAGGGCAATTTCCCGTGTTCGTCGCGATGCACGAATTCTTAGGCGTACGCGTCAACACGAGATTAATTCTGTTCAAAGGAAACGCCAGCGAAATCCAAGGTGGCATGTTTGGGGATGGTCTGTTTATCAAGTTTGCTCGACGCAAAATGAAGATACACAGGGCTGACCCGTTAATATCCTGACGACGAAACAGCGACGACCAATAATTAGCCATAATGGCTGAGTCTCGTTAACGCGGGAGTCGCGGTGTCGCGGTGCCTCTGTTTAACCTGTACCCGTATTTAGACGGTTTCCAGCCGACAAACTGCATCGAGTTACACGGCTCCCTAATTATTTTAATCGTGTTTGCTCCTTCCATTATGCACTCACAGGTACCCCCTGCGGCGGGACTCTAACCGACGTTGAAAGCGACTGACGTTCACGGTCACCGTTCTTTGGTCACGGTGACAATCAGACCGTGGGCAGTTACTATCAGAGCGTGACGGTGAACGGGAGAGAGCGTGGCGGTGAGCGGGAAAGAGCGTGACGGAGAGCAGAAGAGAGCGTGACGGAGAGCAGGAGAGAGCGTGACGGTGAGGAGGAGAGTACGTGACGGTGAGGAGGAGAGAGCGTGGCGATAACTATCAGAGCGTGGCGGTGAGCGGGAAAGAGCGTGACGGAGAGCAGGAGAGAGCGTGACGGTGAGGAGGAGAGAGCGTGACGGTGAGGAGGAGAGTACGTGACGGTGAGCAGGAGAGAGCGTGGCGATAACTATCAGAGCGTGACGGTGAGCAGGAGAGAGAGAGTGACAGTGAGGAGGAGAAAACGTGGCGGTGACTATCAGAACGTGACGGCGAGCAGGAGAGAGCGTGGCGATAACTATTGGACCGTTACAGCGATCAGGAGAGAGCGTGACGGTGATCAGCGAAAGATCACGATCCTCTGGTCCACCGTCACACTCCAGTGATTGCCATCGCGCACTGCCACTCACCGCCACGCTCCAGTAAAACATGGATTCTGTTATCCAAACTGTAGTTTCCTTTCATATCGTAATATTTATTTTCGACTAAATATTTGCTCGAATTCGGTTAAAATTCCTAACAAATCGAGACGTTTATATATGTTAGAGCAATCGTAGATCGCTATTCATCGTGTCAAATATTGAACCCAGCCTGACATTGCCTATCGCTGCAGGTTACGTAATCGTGAGCGACGCAATTACTTTAAGCAGCAAGGATATAGGTAGCGAGTAAACACTCGGATACCAGGGTTTCGCGGACGAGTTACCCTAACCGGCTGAACTTTGCGAAGACGGGCTTCAAACACGATTAATTTAGGAGCACGTCTTCGTCAAACTCTTAATTGATTTTGGCCGGTGACGTCGCTGACGAAAATTCGGGACACGGCGTTGCACGACGTTGCAAACCTCGCGCAACTTGCACTCCCCCCTTACCTGGTGTCTGCGTCGAATTTACCACGTTTAATCGATAGTTGCTCGTTTGTTTAACGATGTATCAATTACTGCAGATCAGCAGTCGTGAACTACCTTATCGATTATTTTTATTTTTAATACGGGACTTTAAATTGAAATTATTTCATTGTAAATATCGCTCAAGTCAAATGATATTAGATACTGCGCTTTTGGCGTTGTTCTGAATTTATTAAAGATTTCAAAACTGCAGAGGTTGCTTCAGGTATTTTCTTTCGAATGAAAACAAATTTTGTTTTATCGAAAGGAATTATTCGAGTAATTATAAAAAGATTGAGCTGTCAGGGACACTTGTAAGTCGCACTCGCATGTACACCGCAAATTATCGTGTACTCCCTGCCATTTAAATTGACCTTTCCAGCGTAAATTACAAATCCCTTGAATTTAAATCTGCCCGTAACCACGTATCATTAAAAACTCCCCCAGCACTTGACTCAACGTTTTCACGTGA